TTTCCCCCAAATTCACCCCAAATCCCCCAAATTAACCCCAATTAACCCCAATTAACCCCAATTAACCCCAAATTTCCCCAAATTAACCCCAATTAACCCCAAATTTCCCCAAATTAACCCCAATTAACCCCAAATTAACCCCAAAATCCCCCAAATTAAACCCAGAATACCCCAAATTAACCCCAATTAACCCCAATTTTTTCCCAATTAACCCCAAATTTTTCCCAAATTCACCCCAAATCCCCCAAATTAACCCCAATTAACTGCAATTAACCCCAATTAACCCAAATTAACTCCAAATTCCCCCAAATTATTCCCAATTAACCCCAATTAACCCCAAATTTCCCCCAATTTTTCTGAAATAAACCCCAATTAACACCAAATTAATCCCAATTAACCCCAATTAACCCCAAAATTTCCCCCAATTTCCCCCAAATTAATCCCAATCAACCCCAAATTTTTCCCAAATTAACCCAATTAACCCCAATTAACCCCAAATTAATCCAAATTAACCCCAATTAACTCCAAATTCACCCCAATTAGTTCCAAATTAACGCAAATTCCCCCGAATTAACCCCAAATTAATCCCAATTAACCCCAAAATCCCCCAAATTATTCCAAATTAACCCCAATTTCTCCCAAATTAGCCCCAAATTTTCCCCAAATTAACCCCAAATTTCCCCAATTAACCCCAAAATCCCCAATTAACCCAAATTAACCCCAAATTTCCCCCAAATTTCCCCCAAATTAATCCCAATTAACCCCGATTAACCCCAAATTAACCTAAAAATCCCCCAAATTAACCCCAAAATCCCCCAAATTAACCCCAATTAACTGCAATTAACCCCAATTAACCCCAAATTAACCCAAATTAACCCAAATTAGCTCCAAATTCCCCCAAATTATTCCCAATTAACCCCAAATTAATCCCAAATTAACCCCAATTAACCCCAAATTTCCCCAAAATTTCCCCCAATTTCCCCCAAATTAATCCCAATTAACCCCAAATTAACCCAAATTTTTCCCAATTAACGCCAATTAACCCCAATTAACCCCAATTAACCCCAAATCCCCCAAATTAACCCTAATTAACCCCAATTAACCCAAAAATTCCCCCAAATTAACCCCAATTAACCCCAAATTTCCCCCAATTTTTCCCAAATTAACCCCAATTAAC